TCCGAAAGTGAAACCTGCTGGCAGAGAACGAATTTGCTTTTTCAATAAGCCCATCTGCTATTTTTGCTACATATTTTTAAATGTGAACCAGTGGATCAACAAAAAGCTAACTTTTTTTTTTTTTTTCCTTATCCTTTCCTTTTCCAACCTAATCCTTTTAGGTTGTTTTGAGAATGTTCTGTAGGCTACTAATAAAAAAAGGACCTCTGTATATTTGTTTGTTGCAAATTTACAGACAATGCAATTGAAATGTTTACATTGGCTTGTCGGGGGAATATTTCTGTCCACTGACAACAAAGTTTTCCTTCTGAATTAGCATAACTGCACAAGTTTTATACTTAATAAAATCTTTAAAAACAAATGACATTAGTTATACTTGAATTTCCTTCAATAAAAAGGAAATGGAGTAAGACGGTGTAAAAGATGTGTGGACGTGGATTAGTAATCTGGCCCCTTGGTATAAAGGAGAAAAAATGCTGGCCCTCGTCACTATCAAAGTTGCCCATCCCTGATGTAGATGTTACTTTACTGTACCAACTACCTAAAGACTGATGCAAAGCACCTACAGCCCTTCATGGCAAAGGTGTTCCCTGATGGCAGTGGCCTCTATCAACAGAATAATGCTCACTGCTACACAGCACACATTGTTCAGGAATGGTTTGAAGAACATGATGAAGAGTTTAAGATGTTGCCCTGGCCTCCAAATTCCCCAGATCTCAATCCGACTGAGCATCTATGGGATGTGCTGAACCAACAGATCCGATCCATGGAGGCCCCACCTCCCCCACTAAAATAATGTACATTATCTTTTAACTTAATAGTAAAAGTGTTTTTGGCTGAAGTATATATATAAGTAGTAGTAGTAACAACAACATTAAGTATTCATATTATAAAATTAATATCAACCTCATCTTCATCAACAACAACAGCAATTGTAGTAGTAGCAGTAATTACATTAATATTTATATCTGGTGCATTAGGTAAGTAGTTTAAAAATAGATATAGATTTTAAAATGATACTGCAATAATATTTTTGGTTAGTTTATAATGCAATACATTTCCCATAAAAATGATTTTTACATGATTAGCTCTAGATTTTATTACACTTTGAAAACATTGAACATTTTATTACATTAATAATGTAATATTTATTAAATTATGAGTTGCTACATAGACCTACAACATATTCATATATTAAAATGTGAATATTTAAATGTGATTGGAGAGAAAAAAACAACACTAGACTTAGGGACACTTTGTTGTATTCTGAAAATATATAAAAAAAAAAAAAAACGTTTTTGTGCACATGCTCTGAAAGACAGATGTAATGTGCAATGTATATTTAAACATGCAAATATTTGAATACGTGTTGTGTGACTGTAGCTACAATAGATACACAACGCAAAAACTAAAAAACACAAATGACTAAATGAGGGTGAGAGCAGGATTTCAACAACAGATCTACTTACAACAATACTGCTGTTGGCAACGCCACACGTCAGTGTTTGTGATGACATGCAATTCAGTTCTGATTTATGTTCAGTTCTGATTTATATTGCTTAATGAATATTTAAGTTAATTACATTAATTTAATTGTAGCACTGAATATAACAAAACAAGCATGGGTGGCTTTTTTCACTCACCTCAGTTGTAGGGCAGAGATGTAGGGCAGACACTGGAGGAATCCCTTCACTTCACTCTCTTCATCTGTGCAGTCTATCAGATCTACTGGTTTCTTCTCTGTTTGGAGTTTCAGCACTTCTAGGAGGATGGAGCTCTTTCTCTCTGAGAGCTTTATGATCCAGACTGCAGGAGCTGACTGATAAATTGGCTGTAATGCTGGAAGGACACTCCTGCCTGTTTGAGTCTCATAGTCCTTCACATGTGAACACAGATCCAGCAGGAAATCACATTTCTTATAATCCACAGATGACAGCAGTTTCTTCACAGTTTCTTCTATTGTCTCTTTCTGATGGAGCGCAGCTTGCAGACACAAATCCAGTATGAAAAATCTCTTTCTTTTGTCCCACGATACAGCTGTTTTATTGTGTGGTACAGCAAATCTATAGAGTGAACAAGATTCTGTTAGAGATGTGTTATTTTGTTATAAAATTTTTGTGCAACAGTTGGGCTCCGGAAGTAAAACAAAATCCATTCATTTTCTTCACAGGGAAATTGACTTTTAACACTAACTTGGAGTAACCATGGAGTAAATTAATTAAACTTAATTTCTAAAAATAAATTCTTATCAGGCAGTTTCTGTTGAAGAACGTCTCAGGTTACTTATGTAACCATGGTTCCCTGAGTAGGGAACGAGACACTGCGTCCTCTAGGGGTCGCTATGGGGACGCCTCGTCGTGACCTGTGTCTGAAGCATACATTGAAAAACACCAACAACACGTTGGCCGGCGACAGCCCATGACATCACTACCGGTGCAATTATAGTATAAATAGGCGCCGGGAGAACACGTCATCCGACGAAGAAGAGAATGACATGTTCTCCCGGCGCCTATTTATACTATAACCGCACTGGTAGTGATGTCATGGGCTGTCGCCGGCCAACGTGTTGTTGGTGTTTTTTCAATGTATGCTTCAGACACGGGTCATGACGAGGCGTCCCCATAGCGACCCCTAGAGGACGCAGTTCGAAGTTCCCTTGAAAGGGAACTACAGTACTCATGACCCTGCAGACAAATATCCATGAATCACAGAATCACAAAATGGTGCCAAAGGAGCTCCTGCCATAAAGCACTGTGAATGATGTAATGATTATGTGTCTTCCTACACTTGTAAACTACTTGTATATGTTTTTTTAAAGACTTCAAATTGCTTCATTTGTATACTCATCAATCAACAACTTAATTTTTTTTTGTCTGCAAGGCTTTGTAGGTTTGTAGTTGATTCCTTCATTAAAGACATTGTAGTTTGTTTCTTTTACCTTTGTCCTGCACTTTAAAAACACATTTGTCTTTTTGTGCATTTTTAAATAATTTTTTGTTTCAAATAAAAGTTTGTAATGTTGTGCTTCACCTTAGAGCTGGTTGGCTTTGGTTCATGGCTTAAAATTCTTTAACAAGGACTTTTTAATAATCCCTTTTTAATAATCCCTAAAATACTTATGGAACCAAGGCCACTGAAAAGAGGACATGCACTGTTGTACTCTACTGTAAAAATGATCAAATGGCAATGATTTGATAAAACAGTTTAGTCAGATATAAACTAATACAAAATAAGATCAGCAGGTGACAGAAGAGCATTTCATCCTATATGGTTTGTGGTGTGAAGCCGCGTGTCGTGTCCGGATCACTCTATTGTGTTTACTTTGTCATAATGACAAATCTAAGTGTACATCATCCCTCAAAATTTAAACAAACAAAAACTCATCATGTCCATATTAAAGCTCCAGCCATGTGGTGTTCTTTCTTCCGTACAAAAGTTGCACGTCACAAAATAGATTTACAAAATTCATTTGACAAATTTAACTCAAAAATTAAGTTCTGATTCATATTGTTCATGGCTTAAAATTCTTTAACAAGGACTTTTTAATAATCCCTATTTTATCCCTAAAATACTTATGGAACCAAGGCCACTGAAAAGAGGACATGCACTGTTGTACTCTACTGTAAAAATGATCAAATGGCAATGATTTGATAAAACAGTTTAGTCAGATATAAACTAATACAAAATAAGATCAGCAGGTGACAGAAGAGCATTTCATCCTATATGGTTTGTGGTGTGAAGCCGCGTGTCGTGTCCGGATCACTCTATTGTGTTTACTTTGTCATAATGACAAATCTAAGTGTACATCATCCCTCAAAATTTAAACAAACAAAAACTCATCATGTCCATATTAAAGCTCCAGCCATGTGGTGTTCTTTCTTCCGTACAAAAGTTGCACGTCACAAAATAGATTTACAAAATTCATTTGACAAATTTAACTCAAAAATTAAGTTCTGATTCATATTGCTTAATGAATATTTAAGTTAATTACATTAATTTAATCGTAGGCACTGAATTTAACAAAACAAGCACGGGTGGCTTTTCCACTCACCTCAGCTGTGAGATGTAGGGCAGACACTGGAGGAATCCCTTCACTTCACTCTCTTCATCTGTCCAGTCTATCAGCTCTACTGGTTTCTTCTCTGTTTGGAGTTTCAGCACTTCTAGGAGGATGGAGCTCTTTCTCTCCGAGAGCTTTATTCTCCAGACTGCAGGAACTGACTGATAAATTGACTTTAATGCTGGAAGGACACTCCTGCCTGTTTGAGTCTCATAGTCCTTCACATGTGAGTACAGATCCAGCAGAAAATCCCACTTCCCATAGTACATGTATGAGAATAATGCCTCCATAGATAGTTCTATCATTTCTTTTGGTAAGGTAG